TTCAGGATGCTGGAAATTCAGGAACATCTGAAGGTATTTTCATAATTGTAACCAATATTTTGGCAGTACAATAAAATCATGTGTCAAGTATTTTGGTGGAAAAATAATTTTTTTTTAATGGAACGTTCACTTTTTACCTTTGCATTTAAGAAGGAGTATTTTAATCATGTTTATTCTTGTATTTTAAAATAATTACCAGAATAACTGCATTCACCTCTCTTAACAATATTGGCTACTATATGGTTGATGTAAGAGCTCTTTCTATAGGTTTTATTTAAAATATCTGCTTAGGATAATAAAAAGGAAATTCCACTTCTTGTCAGTGCTTTATAAATATATTCATTTGAACAACATGACCTGATTTTTGAAAAGTAGGATTTTATGGAAAGAAAGACATCTATTTTACTAATGGTTAAAACGTGAGGATGTAATTTTATAGATTTATTTCTTTTTACAGGAAGTTATACTTTTAATAGCAGCATGGTAAACTGCATAATGTAAGCTACTGTTAAACAAGGAACAAAACAGCATTTTCACTTTTTTAACTACTTTAATACATGTAGATATCAGAGCTCTCAACCTACAGAAGTAGGTCTCACAGCAGTAGGAATTCCTCATGAACTGAGTAGTGTTCACATGTTTCAGTAAGAACTTCTACCTTTTATGGCACCGTGGTGGTATGGTACTCATGTGACAACTACAGAAATTCCTAGTAAGGAAGAGACAGGATATCTGAAAGTATTTAATATACAACTATCAACATAATTTAGCAGAGAGAGCAAAAAAGAAAATCAGAGCCAAATGATCATCTTGTTTTACCTAGATACCAGCAAGTGTTTCTAAGTCAAATAAGTAATCCTGCAGACCTCATGATGGGACATAATATTTTTGGTAGTAATAAGCTGCCCATCTATCTGTCTTTTAATACAGTTTTTAAGTGTTAAAAACAAAACAAAATCTTTGTAAGAAGTTAGTTCAATTTGAAAATCGAAGTCTACTGTTTTCTCGTGAAGACCAGGTAGGAGTTATGTTGGATAGTTATTAAGCAGTGTGGCAGTTTGCGTGGACCTATAGACTTCAGCCTACGTGCAGAACATTTGCATAAGCACACGTACACCTCTCTCACCATTCACCCTTCCTATGTATGTGTGTCTTGCTGCTTCACTGGCAAGTCAAGAGGCTTTCTCAGAGCCATAGAATTCCATAAATTCTATCTTTGGTCCCTTCCTAAACAGACCATTATCTGCATTCTTAGGAAAGGCAGCAGCACTTCCCTATCAGATGAAGTATTTCCACGAAACCACAACCTGTATATCCAAATCCTTTGAAAGTTACCAGTAACTCTTCATTTTACCTGAGTGGACAGAGTGAAATATGGGCAGGGCAGGAGCAAGAAAATTTCTGTTCCACAATGAATGTAGGAAGTGAGCACAGTTCCTCTTCACAGTCCTGTGGCAGCTGTGCTTGGAAGCTGATGGTGAGGTGCTGGTATTTGTCTCATGGGCAGGTGCTCAGTGCTGTGCTAGCTATCATATGCCCACCTGCACATAAGGTATTAAACAGCTCTGTTGAGAACACAATTTAGCACAGTATTGTGTAAGATTGTGTTATATGGGATTACTCTTGAATATCTTTACTGGTCCTCATAAAGAAATCAGCCAGACTAACTGAAACAGCTGACTGGGGGGGATGGGAGAGGTAATATTATAAGTTTGCTTGAACTTTTATTTGTAAATAAATACTAATTTGGTATGTAACTAATTAATATTAGTTATTAATAAACATATCATAACCAGCATTCTGAAGGTTATGTCTGTACCGGTCCCCCATTCAGCATTTCTCACGGCATGACATTGAACATACAGAAGTAGAAAAATATGGAGAATTGAAATTTATAACACTTTAAAGAGACATTTTAAGCCCTCTGTGCAGAATTCAGGGATTGTAAAAGAAATATTTATGTGCATTCACATCAGAGCATGAAAATGAGGCCTATATACATGTATAGGAGAAAATTGGTTGCAAGCTAAAGGAATTCTTATGGTCATTATTGCAATTAGATACTAATTAAATAATTTGAGACAGTCAGTGAGGGTCATTATGGTAATTATTGCAATTAGATACTAATTAAATAATTTGAGACAATCAGTGAGGGTACTGACCTGGAAATAAATCTCTTTGTGTGAAGTTTTCATAATTAAAAGATATTTTTCTTGGATGTCACTGCTGTTACTCTGGATTTACCAAATAGAGAAGCATTTTGTCTGCAGTCCAATTACCAGTGCTCCATACTCTTGAGAATACAAGAATGGGTTAAAACATGCATATATCATCAATGTATCTAGTTCTTCACTCTATTCATAAATGTATTTTGCAAGAAAACACATTAGATTTACAAGAGCAAAATAATATGTATTACTGTGCTTTTGAATACTCTTTCAGGTCATTTGTAAATAGGAAGCATTGATAAATTTGAATTGGCTCATGAACTAAGCATCTTATATATAATTGCTGCCTTCTTAATCTGCACAATTAAAAATTCTATCACTAAGAGTGAAAAGTTTTAAAGGTTTTCACCATTTTTGCTTCATAGAAATTTGACAGCTGTATGAGGTATGCAGATCCTGAAATCTTTTTGCCAGAGACAGCTATAAAGGAACATTGCAAATTGCAAATAAACATTGCAAACTAAATTCCTGTAATAGCCATGACTTCTAAAAGGTCTGAGTATTTCTAACATTTTACATAGTGCAGAGAAAAATAGGACAACCATAATACAGCTTTATCTAAATCTGCTACAAGGAAATTATCTTGACACAGTGTAGTGGTTATTCCTCTTAGTGATAGACTTGTGGTTAAATAGTATTAGAACTAGACAGATTCAGGTTGACTTGCATGAGATAGTGGAGTAGAACTGTATCTCCCTTTCAGAAAGGGCTCTCATCACTGAGGAGAAAAAGGTCATCATAACCATCCAAGGTGGCTATAATTCTTTGTAGGCTCCACTTTGCACAAGAACAGGGGAGAATCATCTTCAGGTGGAATAGGCAAATCAATGGCTTCTGGACAGAAGAAACCCCGCTCTCAAAAACAAAAGTTTGGGCATCTAGGAAACTCAGAAACTGAATAGGCTTGTGTGTATATTTGTGGGGCTCCAGGACTTAGATATTAGATGAAATAAGCAATAAGTGTGATGACCAGAATTTTGGATGTGGATCCTAAGGATGGAAAGCAAATGTGATTCTAGGCTCCTTAAGTTTTTTTGTAATCACTGCATTGGTAAGGACAGCTCAAAGGAAATTATTGTATATGTACTGAGAAAAAGTATATGTATTGTATATGTATTGAGAAAAAGCAACATAAGTGATGGAGACAACGGGGTGGAGGGGGGAAACAGCTTATCATTGTCTACTGCAGTTCATGGTACTGAACTTGGGAGTAATGTTCACTGAAAATTTAAGCATATTTGATACAAAGGGGTATGAAAAAATCTCATCTGGAAGCTAAAAGGTAGAACAAATCAGAATAGTAAAAGCCTCCAACAGGCCACGTATTATAATATTGTAAATATATATTATGGTGTTCATTTTGGCTGGACTCTGGATCTAGGTATAAAGAATGATCTCTTAGGTCAGAAAGAACCCGTTTCACTAGTATAAATAAACATTGTCTGCTGTAGGTCTTGAAACCTTTGGCCTAGATTGGTATTAAGAAATTATTCAACCATATCCACCCAATCTAGTGTTGCTAGATAAGTTCCTTTGGTTTCTGTGAGGAAATCCTCAAGTCCACTTTTATTTCATATATAGGAAAGTCTTTTGAAGTGTAAGTTTAACCACAGGAAATGCAATCACTTTAAAGAATATTTGCAGTCTTTTCATTGTGAAAGCTTCCTTTATATTATTCATAGGCTAGAATTCTGTAAGTGTGCTGAATTTTTTTTTTTTATTTCTTAGCAGTAGTATTCAGAAATACCTTTAGGTTCAGCATAGTTTAAAAAGTATGTTCCTCTAGTTATTATAAAAGTCAGTTTTGAGGGGTGTCTTGCCATTTAGCATCACTGTGTAGGAAATGAGTAGCAAGAATGTCTGAAAATGAAATCTCTGAAATCCCAGTCAATCTTACTGCTCACTGCCCTATTGAAAGTACCTTCGCAATGAGCGCTGAAAACCTAATTCTCAGGGATGATTAGTTAAATAATTTTGTTATCACTTACCGAAACAGTTTTACAGAACAGTTTATAATAAAGGGTGTTTGTACTTATGTAACATACCCAGCCTACAAAATTGATATTTAATGTCTGATTTTACAACCAGACATGAAAATTGGTTCCTGGATCTGGATAAATCATTTTCTTAGTGTCCTGAGAATTAACTGGAAGTGTACAATTACTCTTGGTTTCCATTTTTGTTTTCAAAATGGTTACTTCTTCTCTGAAAAAAATGGCTTGTGCACCCCATTCTCCTCACTGTGCAGTATCACATAACTAGTAATTTAAACACGGTAGGGAAACAAATTCTGGTAGAATATATAGAACCAAGAGACTAAAAGTGATTTGTTTCTGGTGAGAGTGTCTTCAAAGTAGATTGATTTTGCCTGATCCAGGATTTCTAACCTGGACTTTTAAAGTAGCCCTGGTGTCTCCTGTGTCTTTGTCAAGACCAAGGGTAACTGAAACTGAACACTTTGGTCTCACAGGAAATACTTATCCAAAACTTTTAAAGAGGAGAAAATAGTCACTTATTTACCCCTTTTCCAAAAATATGCAGAGGAGACAATAAGGACATGTAATCTTACTGAAGACAATACAAGTTTAGCTGTGTTAAGCCTAGAGCTTTATAGATATAAAGACTTGTTTGTAAATACAGTTGGGTAGAAACAGCTTAATAGTTGGTGAAGCAGATTCTGATGTGGTTGCTTGCACCAGTAGGTAAGTGGATTTGATGACCCTCACATCCTTCTTGTCTCTTTCCTAACTAAATTATTCTCTTTTGCTGCAGCCCAGAAGATGGTGAAATTCATCCTGAAATCTGTAGGCTATACATCCAGTTGCAGTGTTGCTTAGAAATGTACACAACAGAAATGCTGAAGTCCATTTGTCTGCTAGGATCACTGCAATTTCATCGCAAAGGTACTGAATTGCACAAATATACAGATGCTGATTTTGAAAAAAACAGTATTTTGCAGCACGTCTGGGTACTCATGAAAGACTGTTTTGGCTGGGGTAGAGTTAATGTTATCCATAGTAGCTAGCAGGGGACTATGTTTTGGATTTGTACTGAAAATGGGTTAATAGCACAGAGGTTTTTTAGCTATTGCTGAACAGTGCTTGCTGTGTCAAGGCCTTTTCTGCCCCTCACTCAAATCCACCAGAGAGGAGGCTAGGGGTGCACAAGGAACTGGGAGGGGACACAGTTGGGACAGCTGACCCCCACTGACCCAGGGGATATCCCAGACCATATGGCATTGTGCTCAACAAATAAAGAGAGGGGAAGATGAAGAAAAGGGAGGACATTCAGAGGATGGCATTTGTCTTTCCAAGTCATCCTTATACATGTTGTAGCCCTTCTTTCCTGGGGATGGCTGAACACCTACCTGCCCATGGGAAGTGGTGAATGAATTCCTTATTTTGTTTTGTTTGCATGCACAACAAAAATAGAGTATATTCTCTTGAGATAATAAGCTGTCTGTACCTCAACCTACAAGTTTTCTCACTTTTACCCTTTCAGTAGACTCCCCATCCCACCAGGGGTGAGCAGCTCTGTGGGGCTTCATTGCCAGCCAACATTAAACCACAACAAGCACAAAACTGTAAAATGAACTACACCTATATAGAGATTTTCAGCTACTAAAAAAGAGCTCTATTTCTGTTTATCATTTTTCTTGCAGAAGCATGCATTATCAGGCATGCATCACTAATGTCCTTGCAGTTTAGAAGTCTGATTTTTTTTTTTTTTTTTTTTTTAAGAAGAGTAGTCCCTGAAGTTTTAGCTATCATTAGTCAGACCAGTGGGCAAGCTTAGTAATTTTATTAGAGGTATTTGCTGGGTATGATATTTGAGATCAAATGTTTGATAGAACTATATGGCATGGTTTTAGTACTAAACTAATTCCTTACTATCTCTGTTTTTTATCCAGCAATGCTATTTTACAGCTGTCTGGGTTTTGGCCAGGACAAGGTTAAATTTTTTGCAATAGCTGGGAGGCATCAGGACCCTAATGTTGTTCAGTACCACCTCATGTTACTGCCAGGGGCAGGCGAAAGGGACTCTCAGGCTTATGTGGAGAAGAGCATGGCTTCTGGTCAAAAAATGTGGCAGGGAGCAGGAAGTCATTCACCATTGTTCGCTTGTCTCGGGGTTGGTGGTGAGCATTTTTGCATGGGAATCACTCTCTCTTTTTCATACTTTTAATAATAATATTGTTGCTGTTCCTGTCCATTTTCTTATCTCATTGCTGTTTTCAGTAAATTGTTCTTATCTCAATCTGTGAACTTCACAGTGCCTTGGTTTCTCAATTCCATTCCACCTCATCAGGTAGGGGAAAGAGAAGGGGAAGAGAGAGAGAGCAGCATGTGGTTTGGCAGTCTCAGTGGAGTCACTGGATTGGGGAGTACCATTCCTAAACCACAACAATTACAGAAGACCGATAAATGTAGTTAAAAAGCTGCCTGCTTTTATAAAACTAGTTAGTAGATTTGGAACTGAAATCTACCTCACAGTATTTTTACATACAGATGAGATGTCCTCACTTCAGTGAAAATGCATCCCTAGTGATTTCATATTTGATTAGCCTCCTGAAAGGAAGATGTAGAAATTCCAATAATTTACTGGATAGTTTACTTAGTAAACTCACTGATCAGTGATGGCACACACTGATTAGGACTGTATCTGTGCTAATTGTAACTACTCTTTCCCTAGATAATATCTCAGCAGAATATGCTAGGTAAAGACAAGACAAACCTCTGTAATGAACTGTGATAAAGGCCTTGTGATGAACCTTGTGAATTTCCTGTCATGCTGAAAGATCCTGTAGTGTATTTCTTTGCATCTAGCAAGGGATATTTAGTATTTTTGTTATGGACGTAAGAATGAGAGGTTTGGAACTGCTTAATTGAGCTTCTCAATTATTTTTTTCAAGTTAAAAATAAATCTATAAAAAGGAAGAGAGAGTTAACAGAACCACTGTATAACAAGATGCCACTAGCTTTCACAATGAATCATAATTTTTTAGGACAGATTGTACTACATTTCCTAACACTGATTACAATTGTCAAACCATCTCCTGTAACTGCTGAAAGAAAATAGCTTGAAGTGACTTAAGTAACCCTGACATGTCTTGTCTCTCCCATTTGCTTCTGAACAGAATCTACATTAATAACTTAAACTAAAGAACTATTAGAAGTCTAAAGTTGGATGAGTTACAATTTAGTTCCTATCTCACAGTACTTTTGATACACACTAGTTGTTCAGCCCACCATAGAGAAAGTCTTGGTAGCTATTCTGCTGTTGCTTAACAGAGTGACTTTTGTCCTGTATCCATGTAGAGATAAACACAGTAACTTGGCTCCAAGCTTCTGGGGCATTCTTTGGAAAAAAATTCATAATAGGCAAAAATTATATGATGACAGGGATTCAAATAATTTGAATAGCCAATAGAACATTGCTCTTTCCTATTAAATACCTGGTATTTGCAACACCTAGAAGTGTTGTAAAGACATCATGCAGTGAGGGAAATTCCATTTCTATGTTAACTACTTTTTCACAGTGAAGGTAGCTGTATGTTTGACAGGCACCAAAAGAGGCTATGAAATATCCATTCTTGGAGATACTGTTAACTCAAATTAAACTTGAACAGTCTAATGCAAGTTGGCTCTGCTTTCAGTAGGGTGCTAGACTAGATGACTTTGCAACCTATTTATTCTATGTTCTGACAAAACATAAAATTTTCGAAGGAGTATAATGAGCACATACCTTTGTTTAATTTCTTTACTTACAGAGAATGATACTGCAGTGTAGGCAAATTGCATAAATTTATCTCTAGGGAGGAAAGAGACAATAATTTCACCATTATAAAATATATTGTGATAATCCTAGTATATAAATTTTTTAGTTTTTCATCAGTTTTTCATCATCTGAATGACCATATTAAAAAAAATAAATTCTTGTATACTAAGAGTGCTACCCTTATAATCTTTGTTTAATCCATAAATGTGTATGTCTGATGTTCTTGTTGTATCTTGAAGTCGTTTCTGAAGATATTACATTGAGATGTAATATTTTCCATTTTCTAGTCCTCTTACCTGTTGGCCAAGTTGTTTGTTAGGTTTTTAAGTCTCCAATAGGATTTCACTAATTTATGTTCTTACTCAGGACCCAGCAGAGGATCAAGTAGAATGACATGCAGACTGTTCTCAGCAACGTGTAGCTTATAAATAATAATGTGGGTATTGGTACTGTAATCAGAATTTATCAAACAAATTATAGAACTGATATATCTAAGGCAGTGGGCTGATGCTCTTTTCCCAAGAGAAGCTCAGCCAGTGCTCCCTACTAGGAAACAGATGCTCTTAATGAAACACCACACAACAGTTTGAAGGGCTGAGCTCTGTGTCTTTTCATCTTTTACAGTGCAGATCTTCTCATCTCTCCTTATCTTTCTTTACTACTGTACAGATACTCCTTTATTTACAGTATACTATATATCAGTCTTCCTGTACAGAAATTTCTTGCACATTTACAATGCAGGATTAACTTACTGCTATCATATAACCTTTACTAGAAAAATCAGATATTCTGTTATTTCTTTGAAATGTAACTGTCACAGTAGGGGCAAAAGCCATTAATATTTGCAGCTGTGTTATACAGTAAGTAAACTGAGGTATGTGCTCTTTAAGAATTATTTTTTTAAAGATACATACAGCACAAAAGCCCAGTGTTGAAAATATATTATCATTCAACAGTTTAACATTAGGAAAGTTTGCAAGGGGCACAAGGAATCATGCCCAAGTATCCTTAATTCAAAAGTTTTGTAGTTACTAAGTTTTTGGTTACCTGATCGTATTTCTTGTTACTCCTTTCCACAATCCCAAATGTCCTGGCAAACTAATACATATATTCCACTTGGACATACATCTCTCTTTTATCCTAATTCTTTAGTATAATACATTGTATTTATTGCACACAATTCTCTTCTAAAGGCAGAATCTTTCTATTCCTTAGACCTTTCTCAGTAACTCATACACTAATATCTTCACCGTATCTTCAGAACTGCATAGAGTAATAGCAATTTCTCCCCATTGTAAAGAGGGACATTAAGCTAAAAAAAAATGCTAATTTAGAATCTGAGAATTAGAATTTAATGGAAAGTAAGATACTCTGAAGAAACTTAGGTACCTAATTTACAAAATTCAGTTCTCATTCCTTTAAATGTTTTGTGTGTGTACCTATTGACTATTTTAATTAAATAAACTAATTCTGCCTTAGCTATCAAAGTCTTAGGAATTTGGCCTAGTTTCTGTCCATAGAAGCTGCTGAATGTGATTATCATTTCTCAGAATTAACATGTAGGTTGTCAAGGTTGCACATTGAGAAAATCAAGGACTACCTCAGAGTTCATAAGTGCAATTCAGCATACACAGCCACAAATACTTTGGGGTCAAAGATTTTCAATACCTTATAAAGAACTTCATTGCATTTTTAATATGCAAGCACAACAGATAAAAAAGTCTTTACTAATTCATATACCAAAATAATAATTCCTTTCATTATTAGGAACTGTAAAACATTATAATCATTGAATAACATGTCAATGTGGAAGTGCACACTACCAAAGTCTAATATCTGTACGTGTTTACATAGAAACCAAGAATTTCTTAGGGTCATCTACAAATCTAGTTGACTTGTTGGGTTATATAATTACTTATATTAGAAAATATTTTTTAAACCTTAGATCTTATATTGCAACCATTCTGTTAGCTAGCTGTGCAGCATTTGAGCATTTTAATATTGAAGGGAGTAAGCAATTATTGAAAAATAATTCACTGACTAAGTTGAAAGTAAAAATTAGGGTTCGTATCCATTCCTAAGTATGTATTACAAAAGATATCCTTACCCACCGCTATAGGGATGAGAACATTAAAGAGCTTTTGTTTCTCTGTAGACTGTGACATATGGTAGAAATGTTAAGCCTGAGTCATACATTACTCAAGCAAACCCGGTATTATTAGCTGACTCTTTATTTGTTTTCAAGTGACTGAGCAGATGATCTGAAATTCAAGAAACACTTCATGAATTGCTCACAATACAACAGAATTACTGGTAAAGAGGTTTTCTCAGTGGAAGAGATCTGTGCGGTTCATTCTGCTAAATCTGCAAGAGCTTGCCTTTGTGCTAACAAAAAGAACATTACAGTCTCAGTGCTTCTGCTCTCAAGTTGTGAAAAAGAACCTTTACTATTATTTCATCTAGTGCTTTCATCTCGTGTTATTGTTTCCATTGAAACACCTATCACATTCCTGAAGGATGGATCTAGAGACAGGGTTGTTCTTGACAGTGTGTCGCCAAATGTCAGGTCAGAGTTCCCACCACAGAACCTCAAAATAATGGGACAATTCATTAATATCCAGTTTCAGACTTGTGATATTTGTGGCAAGTTAGATGGTTTACGTGAAACCTCTTTTATGAAAATGTAAAAAGTGACTAGATGTTTTGTTATGGGCTTCCTGTAATGGGAAAAAATAACAAATAATGAAACTTATATGAATGAACACTGAAAACTGTACAGTAAGAACTACCTTAAAATAACAGTAGAAGCTTCAGTTAAGAACAAGAAAATTTAAAAGTTATACCTACAGGGTGATACAGAGAAAAACATGTAATCTGGGAAGTAGGCTTAGTCTGCTGTTCCAGAAGCAACTGAGTCAGCATTCAGCATTATAGCTTGTAACCAACAGAAAGGTCTTGATCCCTTCCTCTCTGTTTCCTCTCCCTTACAGTGGCTTCACTGCTTACTCCCTTCCACAGTTTCCGGCCATATGATCCTCCTCTGGCACTTGCTCTTGAACATGTAATGTTCTTGATTGATCTGACTTAAACCATTTCATCAGAAAAGTTCGCATTTTATTTTTCATTTGGGTAATCTTCTACCATTTGATGGGCTGAATTGGATCACAGAAGGATTTGGCAAAGCCCAAGTTAGCAGTGGATGCCAAAGTAAGCAGCAAAGAGAGGACACAAAACGTTCTTTTATGGAGGATACACTTGTTATATCAGGTCATGCAGTCTCTTAGAGTCAGTTAGATAACTTAGTTGGAAGGAAAGCTGAGAAAAGGGCTTCCTACTGGCTGTAGAGAGTGATGAAAACCTGAAGCAAGTGCCTTCTGTAGCATAAGTAATGTCTAGTTTGACATTTCAGATAAGCAGCTAAGAACAACTTTTTTTCTTTTTAGCAATGGAATAATTTACCTGAATACAACAGTTTAGAGATCTTAAGATCCAGGAATTTCTAGGTTATAAAAAGGAAGGTTGCATATCTGATAGCAGGAATACATATTCGTGATGTGTAAGAGCAGTATAGTATGGTATGCAGCCATGGTCTCTTAAGAGTCCCAGAAAAATGGGCTACATCAGCACTGCTCTACTAGCTGGTCTTGTTCTTTATGTTCTTTGCCAAGCCTTACAGAAACTACTTAGGTTTGTCCTGATATAAAAATCTTTCAAATTGCAAAAATTATGAAATGAAAGACATTTCCTACTCAGCGTTCCATACTACTGGTTTAAACATTGCCATTTTTTGTCTACTTTTAAAAAGTTTTATTTGTTTCTTTCTGAGATTGTTTACTCCATTTCATGACAGAACTCAGACGGGGAAAAAAAATTGACGTCTTAATAACTTGTCTGGGATGCACTGCAATGTGAATTTTTTTCCTTTAAATGTACTTCATGCCAGAAGTACTTACCACTACAGAAGAGGAACGCTATCACGCAGTCCAGAAGAGATTTGCAAGGATACCAAAATATTGCACTGATGCTTAACTCTCTTGCATACTCTGCTACCATGATCCACATCCTTTATTCCACTCTCTCCCATACAAAAGCCCTGGAAGATCTGTCATGAAGTCCCCATTCAATTTCAACACTGCATTTCATTTTCATACAATGAGCTTGGATTAGTAAGCGTCAGCATGTAAATTCAGAATACAATGCACTTGAGCTGTGAGTGGTGGCAGCCGTGTAGTCCTGTTAAATGACAAAGTACAAAATTTTACATATTTGTCTTTTGTTTTCCTTCAGTATTGCTGTAGTACTAGGAGACATGGACTGCAGTATTCTTTAGAGTCAAAGTTTCTGAAATTGTTTCCAGAATGAGTGTTGTAGTTTCCTTACTTACTTTGTTCTGTTTTGTCCTCTGGCTCTAATTTTATGTTGCATGTGAGCCACTGGAGTTTAACTGAACCCCTTGAAATTGGTAAGAGTAACATACAGCAGCACTCTGATTTACAGTTTGGTGTGGTCTGTTCTCTTTCTGAGTAGTTCTTAATCCTTTTACATTCAGCACTCCTTCTCTCCATTTGTATTGTGCTAAATCAAGCTTAAGGCATCAATGATATAATCTTAGTATCCATTTTAATCAATAAATAATGGGGATACATGTTTGTTTAAATATTTTAAAGGAAAAGAACCTTGTGGCCCACCCAAGATTCTAGATATTAAAGTGGAGGAGAGTTCTGAAGTACCTATTTTAGAAGACATGTCATCACCAACAGATGTTCAGCAGCATCTATGGCAGGTTTCCACAGATATTGAAAACACTGAAAGGTATGTGTGGCACTTCGTTCCTGAACAAAATAAAATTCCATCTAGGGTTTATTTAGTCTTTTTTAATTTGATAGCCAGTGTTGCTACTGTAAAAAGTATATCAAATAACCTCTTAACATTTCTGTTACATTTAACATAATTCAGAACTTCTAAAAGAAAGGCTGAGTGACATGCTTAAATAGACTAACTGCCAGAAAGTAACTGTCGAAAAAAGAGGGGGAAATGATGTTGCTGATGGGCTGGGCTCTCTAAAAGAAGCAGCTTTTGCCTCATCTTGAGTGGTTTCTGATTTTGTACCTGTAATCTGCTGTAATCCTGTTCTGCATTCCTAATTCAAAAGCACTGAATCTAGTTCATTTCTGCCCCTAATTTTGACTATAAAAGCCTGAGGAGAGGAACATAATCCATAGGTTACCCTCTTAACTATGCAGTTGAAAAACAAAAATGAGATCCTTTAGTAGAAAGTAACCTTGATGGCCAAAATTCCTATTTTGAGGGCTTTGTATATTAATCTGCTGATGAGATTTGAATAGTTATCATGCTTATTTACATAAAACAAAGTTGTGTTCTACTGAGAACATAACTTGGAAAACAGAATAGAGCAATTTTTTACTAGTCACATGGCTTAATTCCTAAGAACCATTTTATTGAATGAAGCAAAACCACATTGGTGTTAAATCCTGAAAGCATTAACACATTACAAGCCTGCACACAAAATTACTGGTCTGCCATCTACCAGTAAACCAAGAGCCTTTTTGAAATTTCTGGCCTCATTCAAAACATATCCTTATATAAGTTGCTTTGGGAGATAATATTTTGTTATAGTATTTTCCATCATCTGCCTTTCAGAAAAACTAATGCCACAGTCCTCCTGAGAGTGGTGAGAGTGACAGCTCTGTTTTTAAAATTTTCATTTAATGTGCAGGGGACTGAAGTATCATCGGTTAGCTACATGTATTATAATTTTCTCCTGAACAGTGAAACACATTCATGGCACAAGCTACAAAATGCTGACAAGGAATATGAAGTTGACATTAGCACTAGCTTGTGATAATTTTATGGTATGTTGTGTATTTTGTCACTAGCATCACATTGTGCCCACCAAGTAATTTAATATTAATTACTGAAGTACCAGAATAGATCATAAATTTGAATTAGAAGCAACCAGTTAGTATCAGGATGGCGTGAAAGTGCTCCCTTATTAAATCTATTGCCCTTTCTTTTGGTATGCATCTTCCGATATGTGTTTGTAAACCGAATGCTTGCCCAATAGATTTTTGTATTTGTTGCTCCATTATTTCAGCATATAAAGCTATACTGTGAGCCACTCCCCATTAAGTCTTCAACTGCTGTTCTATTGTATCTCTTTTAACTGTTGTATCCACAGAGATATGAGAGAAATGAAAAACCTTTTAAGCAAACTCAGGGAGACTATGCCTTTACCACTGAAAAATCAAGGTAGGTTTTGAATGTTCTTCACATAAGGAAAATTACGTTAATTAAAGGTTTTGACTTCCGTTACATACAAAAAATCAAGGAGTTTTTCATAGAAATTACAAGAAGAAAAATCTACACAAAATCTCTTCTCTACTGATTCATTGGAGCCAGAATTTAGCATGTGGTCTTTGGCCTCTCAAGTTTCACATGAGTATTCTGGAATTTTATAGATATGGCACCTACACATAAAATAATAGACTTCCTGGTGACATGAAGGCAGAAGCACAACTAATTCCCTGTGTAAGGAGTCCTTCGTTTTTCAAAGGTAATGAAGGTTTAAAGGGATCCTACTGAGTAATGGCATTTGCCTCACCCCTGCAAGGCTTGTAGGTTCTGTGACATGACACTGACTCTACACAAAAAAGCTGCTTGCTTTGAGACTATTAACAGTTGCTTTTCCCAGTAGCCAGCTGTAAGAATCCTCATCCTATGCACGTAATTAGCAATGGGCCTTCATCTTGTTGCCCAGCAGTGTTAAATACTCCACATCTGCTGGAACTCTTTTTTAATGTCATGAGAATGATATTAAAAAGATAATAATTTCCCTTTTTGATTTCTTCTTGATAAATAGATATTTCTTAAATGCCATGTAGTTTTTGCACAGTGGCAGCCCATGAAGTATATGCCTAATGTGTCCCAGATCTTGTCCCAAGTAACTAAACAGTGTAGCATTCATCATGGTGCCAGGATGGACAAGGGATCAGAGCCAGCCAGCACGAGTTTAGGAGGGGCAGGTCCTGTCTGACCAACCTGATCTCCTTTTATGATCAGGTGACTCACCTGGTGGATGAGGGAAAGGCTGTGGATGTTTCTATCTGGACTTCAGCAAAGCCTTTCACTATCTGGACTTCAGCAAAGCCTCTCACACCATCTCCCATAATATACTCCTGGAAAAGCTGGCAGCCCATGGCTTGGACAGGGACACTCTGTGCTGGGTCAGGAACTGGCTGGAGGGCCGGGTCCAGAGAGTGCTGGTGAACGGAGCTGCATCCAGTTGGCAGCCGGTCACCAATGGTGTCCCCCAGGGATCAGTGCTGGGCCCAGTCCTGTTTAACATCTTTATCGATGATTTAGATGAGGGGATTGAGTCCACCATTAGCAAATTTGCAGATGACACCAAGTTGGGAGGGAGTGTTGACCTGCTGGAAGGCAGGAGGGCTCTGCAGAGGGACCTGGATAGGCTGGAGAGTTGGGCTGATTCCAACAGGATGAAGTTCAACAAGGCCAAGTGCCGAGTCCTGCACTTTGGCCACAACAACCCCCTGCAGCGCTACAGGCTGAGCACAGAGTGGCTGGAGAGCAGCCAGGTAGAAAGGGATCTTGGGGGTGCTGGTTGACAGGAAGCTGAACATGAGCCAGCAGTGTGCCCAGGTGGCCAAGAAGGCCAATGGCATCCTGGCCTGCATCAGGAACAGTGTGGCCAGCAGGAGCAGGGAAGTGATTCTTCCCCTGTACTCAGCTCTGGTGAGGCCACACCTGGAGTGCTGTGTCCAGTTCTGGGCCCCTCAGTTCAGGAAGGATATTGAGGTGCTGGAGCAGGTCCAGAGAAGAGCAACCAGGCTGGTGAAGGGACTTGAGCACAAGTCCTGTGAGGAGAGGCTGAGGGAGCTGGGGTTGTTTAGCCTGGAGAAGAGGAGGCTCAGGGGAGACCTCATCACTCTCTACAACTCCCTGAAAGGAGGTTGTAGCCAGGTGGGGGTTGGTCTCTTCACCCAGGCGATCAGCAGTAGGACAAGAGGGCATGGTCTTAAGCTCTGCCAGGGGAGGTTTAGGTTGGATATTAGAAAGAAGTTCTTTCCAGAGAGAGTGATCAAGCATTGGAATGGCCTGCCCAGAGAGGTGGTGGATTCACCGTCCCTGGGATTTTTAAGACAAGGCTGGATGTGGCACTGAGTGCCATGATCTAGTCATCACAGTGGGGTTGGATCAAGAGTTGGACTTGATAATCTCGGAGGTCTCTTCCAACCCAGTTAATTCTATGATTCTATGATAATATGGTAATAGATGAATATGGAATAATTGAGTTCATTATACAAATAAGAGTTTGTGGCACGATGGCTTGATGGAAAACCATGTGAAAGGAAAAAGGGAATTGCTTATGATACGTGATAGGTATGTATCATTCTAGAGACTGAAAAAGTGACAAAAAGTCTATACCTATCCTAGAAGAAAGGAGTGTTCTGAAAATAAGGAAGGAAAAGACAAATTGGGGGGATGTAAAGCATAGAGAACCTGAGTTCAGAACAGAGATAAAGGCACACAGAATTCTTCTCTGCTGCATGGTGTCCACACTGCCCTTCAAACTGACCAGAATATCACTGACCTCCTGTGCAGCAGGGTAGGAAACATTCTAGAGTTTAAAAGCTCTGAGTCATGCCCCAGAATCAGGTAATCCTAAATGGTGGTGTTGCAGCTCTCACAGACTCCAACTGTGATGATGATAGTTTACAGAAGATCTCTGAGAATGGATGCCTCAGGAATGGACAGTCATACTCATTATTCATACAGTACTTAAAATTTTTGAAATAATCCAAGACCTTTAATTAATGAAAGCTAGATAACAGTATAAGTAAATAGAAAAAAATCCAAACATTATAGATTATTAATATGGTCTGGACTGAAATTTTGATATTTATATGAATCACAGCTATTGATTATGAGATGAATGAATGCCATTGAATGTGTTGATCTTTGCAACTGATCAATCCTGCTCCCAGTAAATGAGTGTTTTGCTGTTGGTTTCAGTGACAGCCAGAATGGAGTTAAGATGGCAAGCTCACAAAAGATTTGCATAATATTACTGACTGCTCACAGACCAGGTTTTATGTATGAAATTCTCTTGAAGTGACAGCAGGAAAATTACTGTTGGGGTTTGTAAGATTGAGTGACAATATTAAATGATCTCTTAGCTAGGTTCTTGTGTTTAAGTATTTGTGTTACAGTAGTGTTTATACAATCAAACCAGATCACTGATGTAACCAGAATAGGAATATGATGGGGCATAGATCTTAGCCTGAAACCATGCCTGAAGATGGCTCAAAGTGAACTCTAAATTTGTGAGGTGGCTCACTGACACTGCGTGAGTTAATGTAAATATAGGCACTAATAAATACATTTTGTATTAATTTAGAAGGAATTAATATAAAAGGTAGAAAGGTAACAAGCATACTGTGGTTACTTTCCCAGGTAAATGTTTTTTTATCTCGATATGCCAAGATGCTCCTGTGTTGCGGTTTTAAATGGAAATTCTCCCAGATCTACACAAACGGTCACTCATTAGTGGGGGGGGTTATGTTTAAATTAAGCCAGAATTTTACTTTAGGATTGACATTTCCAAACTTGCATGTCTGCAAGATCTCAAGCTACTTATCTTTAGGTTTCATTTGGAATCTTAACATTATTAATCCGTGCAGGAATGTTGTGGCTTAGATCTCCCAGTGGTGGAGGTGTGATTTCATTCAAGAAGAACTAATGTTCTTCTTGACAAAATGTGTTTTGTATTATTATGGAAATCCTGTTAATTAGCATTGTAAGACTTAAATACAAATATCGGGTTATTATTTGCTCTATGCCTTGAACTATGGGACCTATTACATCATAGAAAGGTTCTCAAGGATTGGAATAGGCTGCCTAAGGAGGTAGTGGAGTCACCATCCCTAGAGGTGAAATGACTCTGCCTGGCACTTAGGGCTCATTGACAAGGTGGTTATTGATCAAAGATTGGGCTTGATCTCCAAGGACTTTTCCAACCTAAATGATTATATGATTCTTAGATCATGTAGGTGCTGTTAGGGCACATATGATACAGTCTTTTTTGTGCGTAGACATGTGCACATGCTTGTGTCATGTGGGATTAATGTGGGATTTTTCATCACAGATGATAGCAGCCTCCTAAACTTGACTCCATATCCATTGGTAAGAAGACGGAAGCGAAGATTCTTTGGATTGTGTTGTCTCGTCTCAAGTTAGAAGATTAAGCACAGAAGCACAAAGAAGATCATGACTTTATTAAACCACTATTATTTGACCACTGAAAAGATGAACGTTGATCCCCTTGATTATAAAGTACATTTTCTACACTACACTATTCATTTTGCTCTTCTGCTCCATCCTATTTTCAGATAAGGGATTTCACAGTTTAAAATTATGGTGATCAAAAAACAGGTGTGAGATAGATCTAGCATATTTAAAACTTTTTAAAGTATGTTCTGCATGCTTACTTTCAATCACTTGAAGACACATGAATTATGGTTCATGGATAATTTCAAGGGTTTTTTTTAATTGTTTGAATTGCCGCTAAAAGCTTGTGCATAGTACAGTATTCTTAGTATCATATTGAAATATTTGGTCATACTCTTAACAGTCTTTAAGCATAGAAAAATATTTAACAGCAAAAGTATTAAAGTTCTAAACATTCAAACAATATTGTAACAGAATTTGCACAAAATCTCCAGTTGGTTTTTGTGCTCACATTCATATTTAGTCTTCCAATATATCTCAATTTAAAAGCTTCATAGAAAAATATCTTAATTTATGATACACAAATCATGTATGAAAATAGTTAGGACTTGTAAATACAGAGAAATCATAATAACTACATACTGTACAATGCATAGAAGCAACAGATTTCCTTTAAGTCAATAGTATATCTACAAGCATTTGGAAAAAAATAAGTAATTTATTAAAGGGAGGTATTAAAATAAACAATGCAAAACACTACACCAACCCATTTTGTTTCCAATAGAATTCAAAGCATGGTGTCTGCATATCACTAAGTATAAATCTTATAAGGCATGCCAGAATCTTCTGAGACTGTAAGATATTAAATGATTTACATTGTTAATAAAGTTTTTTATTTAATTAAATATTGTCTTGTTTCTGGTTATATAACTGGACTATGTCTGTTTTGCCAATTTTGCTGTCAGAGTACTACACAAAGTTTTGATAATATTTCCATTTCAAGAAGTATGTTTAGAAAGACAGATAAAAATTATGGAGCATATATAAAAGCTAAAATGACAGCTAGTAGCAGCAGCAGGTAGTACCTAGTAGGTAGTAGCTAGTAGTAGCAGTAGGTAGACTCAATGTATTGATATTTCAAGATGATAGGCAAGATAAATAAACTTGTGCTAGACTCCAACACTATGAAACCCACAGCAATCTGTCATTACTGTACAGGTCAGCAAACCTTTGTAATGAGTAATAATGACTCATAGCCCTTCTTCTATTCCACTACCCAGCATACCAAAAGAATCAAAACAAAGGTTTAGTGCTGATAAGGAGGTTGTTGTGTCCTTGCCACAGAAAACACCTATACAGTTGAATTTGTCATCAGTTTTTTGGTAGGATATTAGGACATCCCCTAAAGCAGTTTGTTGGGGACAGCTGTTCACTGAACTGTATCTGGCAATGAAAAAATTTAATCTGCCTCATTTTTCGACCAGTTTTTTTCTCCTGCTTGCTGAGAAAGGATGGAAAAGCCCACATTGTCAGAAATATTAGCATACTGTCTATAGCAAAGACCAAAAATTCAGATCTAATTATCAGGAACACAAGGCAGGACTTTTTCTTCCAGAAGAGCCACAGCACTCCTGGATTAGACATTCATGTAACTGAGTTTCCAGCATTCCTCTGGAAGGACATTCTTCTTGTCAGATAAAGCAGAGTGGTTTCGTTTTTTCCAGGTTGGGCTGGTCTGTTTACCTTTCAGTCCCCCAGAGAGAAATACATTTTTGAATAATCAGGCCAAAAAATAAATACTTTAAATGCAATGAGGACAAATAAATTTAAAATGCCCTTATGGAAATTGTGTGTCTCCAAAATTAATTCCATCTGAGGAATGCATAGCTAAGTTCTTTAAACAGCACAAAGACAGATAACTGCAATGTATTTGAAGATTTCAGGTCATGAACTATTCTTAAGCATCTAATCTGGGGAGATTCCTACTGACTTAGAACTGTGTACTTGTGAGAACAAATGTATTTTTACTGATGGTCTTGGCCTTGGCCAGTGGAGTGTCCATCTTGGAGCCAGCTGGAACTGCTGTTGTCCAACATAGGGATAACTTCTGGCATCTTCTCATAGAATCCATCCCTGTAACCCCCCTGCTACCAAAACCCTTCCAAGTACATCCAATATAAGCATCCACATCATGCTTTTCTAGACCCCAGGTCTAATGCATCAATATGCAAACAAGAAAAATTAAACTTGCAATAAGGCACCAGCTTCTTTACACACAAGTATCATGAATGTAAAAGGCTAAAGGCCTTGAATTTTCAGAATTAAAGTTTTGGTCTGTGACACCTCAATTTGCCAAAGACCCACTAAATTTTATTTTGGATCTGATCTAGACATCTGAGAAGGGACCACATGGTTTATGCTCTGATTGGGACTCCTAGTCATTTCTAAGTTAGATATAATTTGCAAAGCAATGGCCAGAGTGACATTCTCTGTAAGCAGTGCTTGGCTGATTATCCAAATCCCAGTCAAGGTTGATCAAGATATATAAAAAACCATCCAGAAGATAGGCTTTTAACGCATACTGAGCTTACATGGGAAACATGGCTGCAACAGATTTTAATTCTTTGACAAGTCCCAAGCAGGAGTATAGGATCAGTCTTTCCTGGTCAAGGCAGACTGTGAAGCAGCACATTGAATTTTACTAAATATTTGATTAACTGACCAGGAGAGACAGTTAAACTGTCTATTAGTGTTGCAGTAAGTACTGGATGCCATAGTATGTTGTTGATGTGTGATTTCATTACAAACAGAATATCACCCAAATGAACACCTCAGTTTAGCTAAATTAAAAACAAAACAAAAAAGAACAACATAATTTTGTTCTTAGTCCTTAAGCTTCCCATCTGAACAGGATTATTCATACTGGCTTCACTCAATACTTTTTCAGTTTTTTTGTGAAACAAGAACACTTCTGCCTTTCAGAAATGGAAAGAGGGACTACCTAAAGGTTGCAGCCAGGTGTTTGTAGCACCTCATCATTTAATATCCCCTCCCAAACCAAGTGACTTTTCTTGAGTACTGAGAAACCTCCGAAGACACAAATTCTTCAGCTTTCCTGAACAACCTGCCCTAGTGCTGTACAACTTTTCTAGTGAAGAAATATCAAATATAACAGATTTCTAAGATTGTGTCATTTATCGAGAGCAAAATCTAATTTTAAGTCTGCTATAGTATTTTTAATCAGTGTTTGCACAAAAAAAAAAAAACCACAAAAAACCAGAATTCTCTTCTTTCAGTGCAAATGAGTGGTAATATCTTGCCACAGCACAAAAAATCCACCTAAATCATAGCTGTTAGTACCTGATACTATAATCCTTATTGCTGGTTTCCCATCTTTCATTTCTGTATTACAATTTAAGCATTTCTGTGACTTGACCTTCATACAACTTCCAACAAAAGTATGGGAGAATTAAGGGATATTTCTATTGTTACCAAATACTGTTTTTTTGGTAATTGTTGAGGAAGGCAATTAATTCCCTGCTGATTTCCTGCAGGTTAGATATTTTAACACCTTCTATTGAAAAAATGCAGAAATCATCTTTACCAATGACTTCTACAATATTTTGGTTCCTGATGGAAGAGGAATTGTGACATTTGCTGTAAATGCTGTAAATGTAAATTGTGACATTTGATGTGGCAGAGTAGTCATCTGCCATTTGAGTATTTCTGTGTTCCAAAACCCCAGGATTACACATTTTCTATAAGGATCTTCTGTTCTAGCTTTCTTTTCTTCTAATCAAGAAAACATAGAAAATCTCCATCAGAAAACAGAAAAAAAATAAGAGACAACTTCTATTCCATTTCCATCCCAGCAATAATTGTACAGTGATGCATTAAATGCAAATTGGTCTTTTGTCCGTGTAAAGTTGAGATTCCTTATTATATAAGAGGTATCGTATCCATTGTTGCTTCATGGAACAAGCAGCAGAAGCTAAGGAAACATCTATTTCTGCTCACGCTTAGTTCTGAGTTACTTCAGCAAAGAGATTTGTAGCATTATTTTGGAAAGTAGTTCTAGGACCTTGAAGGCACTGACTGACAGGCAGCAAAGTTTATCCTTTACCAGGAGAACCTTCCTTTTCTGCTTCAAAAAATCTGAGCTTGGCTAAATTCAGGTGAGAAGGAAATATTTTCTATGGATCATGGTGTCGCAAGGGTTGTAACACTGACTTTAAATTGTTCTACAGCTGAATAATTTATCTCAAATCTAAAATTATTTTCCCTAAGATTCTATTTTTGTGTGGTAGTTTCACAAAAGTTGCCTGAGTCATATCTCAAATAACAGGTATACCTTTACTCCTTAGTTGGTGGTGGACCCTCTAATGTGGTTTGGGTTTTTTTTTCAACTTAGGTTGTTCCCAGCATATGCATAATCTGCTGTTCAGATCTAGCCTCGTATGGCCAGTCTTAGACATTTTCCATTTTCCTGTCTGAACTTGTCCGGCTTTGAGCTGTCAGTCTTCTCCTCAGTACTACTAAGAGTCTTCACCTTATTTTGTATCATCTGTAAATTTTCCTGGTGTGATATTTATATTTTTTTCCTTTCTTTTTAAATGTATTTAACCACCAGTGATAATGCGAATTCTGGTGTCCAAAAGAGCGCCTGTTTTTATTTGTAATCTGCTGCTGCCTCATGCAAGCATATCTTCACTTAAGCCATTACATGTACTAAGCTCCTTCTTTCAGAAGTTTTTATTTCTTGCCCTTCTAAGATTGCAGTTCTTTGATGTAAAGAAAGTTTCTGCCAATTTCCAGCCTAAATCTTCTCCTGGACAACTAGTACCATATACGATGTGTTTCTTACAACTCAACTTCACTCTTTGTTGAAATTCTCTGATGGTCAAAATTCTGCAAGGATATGTTACAAACTAGATTAAAGCCTCATGAATACTTACTTATATACAATACAGATAAAAAAGGAGTAATAATTTCTGTTCACAGTATACTTTCTCAGCTTACACAGAAAACTGTAAGTTACATCTTAAGTACTGTGCTGACATTTAAATGAACTCAAATAGCCTGTTGCGGAGTTCTTTATTGCTCGAAAGATAGCTGACAGGGAACGGCACTTCTTGTTTGTACTGGCATCACCTTCATACTGTAAGAACTTTGGTGCTTGTTGAGTAGCAGACATACAATCAATGTCTTGGGCCTGTACAACAGCAGCAGTTACATCAGGTTTACCCTTGAAAGTGCGATTCATGTGAACTGAAGCTAATTAGAATTGATACGAATGAAGAAACAGCTGAAGTTTTAATATTAGATGTCTTGTTTTGAGATGTGTGTCTGTGTGTGTCTGTGTGTGTGTGGTGGTCTATATGTCAAAGATGAAATGGCCATAACTGTGAAAGAACAAAACCCATGCAGAAAGGACTTTGAAAAACTAACAGCTTTTGTTTGCTTCTTTTTGTTTTCAGCTTGCTTACAGTGATCTTGCAAAAAGAATGTGTACATGTATTTCACAGTCTAAGACTAGATCAATTTTTGAAGATAATTTTGAAGGCTCCATCTTTTTTAGCTCCTCATTGCACATTCCTCCCTTCTCAGGACCTGTTTCATATTTGCACTTACTGATTCATGGATGTAAGCAGAAAATGTAAGCAGTAAAACATACATTTATTTAAAGGATAATAGAAAATCTGAATTTCCAGATTTGATTTAACCACTCTGACATTAGGCATATTTAAGTCTATATCTTTCTACACATAAGCTTGCAAACTGAAGTTTAGCATATCCTACTGTAAGGGATTACAAATACACTTAATCACAGTAAGAGTGAAGAACTAGTTAACTTTACATGGTTTAGTACTAATAAACTTGAAATTTTTTTCCTAAATGGTCCATCTAATAATCTGAAGCA